GAGTGGATGTTCTCACAGCTAGACCCGGGTGGTTGTCCCACTGAATGAAGTGGCCTCAGCGCAAGTTGACCCCAAGGGAAGGAAAAAGAAAAAAAGGCCTACTCCAGAAACCCAAGGTATGTTAAAGAGTTCACAGTTGATGGCTGGTCCTAAGGAGCCTTGGCCTTCCCATGCTGGTCATGCTCTCCAGAAAGCACAAGATGCTTTGATTACTGCACTTCATGCAGTAGGAGGAATAATAATAGAAAAAAAGAAAGAAATACATGCAAACACATATCCACTCATTCACAAATACATGAACCAGAAAACCCCAGACTTTCACTCACATCCTCAGTCCATTTCCTCCTTGGAGACTCAGATTTTAAAAAAAAAAAAAGCTTAAAGGCTGTTTCTTGTTTTTCACTCATCATGTAATGAGATTTTTCAGCAGTATTTATCAATATTGAACACTCTTTATGTTTTTAAATGGTATATTTCCATTACTTTAAAATTTGATAGTGTTCTCTGTTTTCTCTAAACACTATGGTCACTTATTCCCAGTTTCCATTGGACCATTTTCCTCAGCATTTCAGGAATCCTTTTCCTCAAGTCCCTGCCCTAGTCGCTCTTTACTCCCTCCCGGGCAGTCGGCATAATTCAGTATGCTGAAGACTCTCTAGAACTCACATCAGACATCGCTTGAGTCCCTGGATCATACATCCACTGGCCTCATTGTCATTTCCACTTGGATGTTATGTCAAGTGTTAATGTGACTACCTCTTATCTCTAAACTCCCTCTTTCATGCTCTACTTTGTGATGCTGTGACTGGGACTCTGAAAACTACATTTTTTTTTTCCTGGCCAACTGCATCCCTTTTAGCCTCTGCCAGTAGGGGTATGAGGGAAGACTGAAGGCTGGAGGAATCTTAGTCTTTTTATCTTGTGTGTGTGTGTTTGTTTCTGGTGGATAACTTACTTCCTGCTTGAGGTTACTCTCAGTGCTGTGGCTTCTTCACTCCAGCAACAGCGAGGCCTCCCTGTAACAGCAGCTGAATCCAGTTTGCATATTTTCCAACACTTGCAGAGAGAGCTTTCACTCAGAGTTACCAGAACCAGCTGCTAGATTTGCCCAGCCTCTTCTCTCAGATCCTTTTTCTTGGTATTCCTTTTATTCCCTCAGCTACGAGGATGATAGCTGTTCCTACAGTTTACACCTCTGAGACATCTTAATTTTTTTCTCTTTATACTTTCATTAGTTAATAATTTTATGCCTAGTTTAACTCTCATTATATTAACTTCTAACAGCTCCTTTGTTAGTATAGTGGTTAGTAACCCCGCCTGTCATATTAACTTCTCTCTGTTAAAACTACTGGTATGATTTCTGTCTTCTAAATGGACTTTTCTGATCCTTCTGAAGCCCAAATCTGACTTAAACTGTCCAATGGCTTCTCCTTGCTCGAGGATTGGAAAAAAAAAAATCCTCCTGAATGGTTGCAGGGCTCTGCCTGGTTTTACTCATCCCTTCCTTTAATCTGCACCCTTGCTTCCCATGGTTCTCTGTCCCAGCTGTGATAGGTTTCTTTCAGACATTTCTCAGATTCACTATGCCCTCTTCTCCCCTAATCTCATTACTCTTGTTCCATTTCTATCTGAAATGTGATCTCTCTTTTTCTGTTTAACAGTTGCTCATAGTTCCAGAACTCAGGTTGAATTTTTTCCTTTCTCGGAGAAGCCTCGCTTGATCCGTCTAGATTAGTTTCTTTTGTTGTATAATCTCAAAGCATCAGATTCGCTTCCATCACAGCATATAACTGACATACTGCACATGATCTCTCATTAACAGATTCTTGTCTATCTCACTCAGATGGTAAGCACCAGGAAAACACAGCATTGCTAAACACTGCATTCTCAGCACTGAGCAGCAAAGTGATAGGTTTACAACAGACATTTGTTTGATGAAAGAATACATGCATTTAGGAATAAATATAATATGAAAGCAGAAGTACTGTACAAATGGAAATCTGTATATTTGAGGCAAGGAAATGGATATTGATGCTCCCTATTAAATACCAAGTAGAACTTGTTTATTTTATTTTTGTTGATGCATTTTTTAATTTGAAAAGCATTTTTTTCTCTGAGATTCCAATAAGTAATATTTTCAATAAATAGTCTACTTTTAATTACTATGTTTTAATAGACATTTTTTAGTGGTAAAAGTATAACAGATGGTCAGTCTTCTAGAGATGTTAGGAGAATAACATGGACATAAAAACTTGATACTTCTAAGATGCCTAGTCAATAAGAAATGTATTGTAACAGCTACTTCTATACCTGAACATCTTGCCTACATCTTGACGTGCTATTTACAGATGGGAAATTGAGACTAAATGTACTATTACTCTGGAAATCCCACCATGGTTAGGGAGCCACATCTGTTTATTTGTCTACTGGGAGAGGTGTAATGTCTATTAGAAAAAGAAGTCAAGAATGTAATCTGGGAATTAATAAGGGATATGCAATTTCAAATATATGCCAGTTTTTTCATACTTCAAGCAAACATTTGAGTGAAAATTATGATATTTCCTCATTAACTGTTTTTTGTTTTCATTATCCAAACTGTTATGAGGTTTGCATATACAAACATACACATACATAATGCATGCTATCCCACTGGCCAGTATCTTAAAGTTTGAGTTCAAATCTGTTGAATAATTTAATTTCTCTTGTACTTTAGTGATAATCTAAAATGTTAGAAATATTTTTTAAAAATTTAGGTAGAAAAAGAAGACCTAACACATTTCACAGGTAAAAACAGAAGCAAGAAACGAAACTGTGAATGATGTTATTATTTTTCATGAAGAAATATCATGTACACAGAGTTCACAAAGAATTAAAAAGATATTGGATCATTAGTTTTATGCCCTATAGGCAAGTTTGAAAACATGCCTTTCCTGCTGTCCCCTTTCAGTCTTCTAAGAGACAGAGAGGGACAAAGTAAATATCTTTCAGAATGGTAAGCATTATATGGAAAAACAAAAGCTCAGGCAGTCTCTATAACTATGATTTAAAACTACTTGGAAATAAAAACAAATAGTATTTCTAAGAATTATTCTAAGAATTTAAATAATATATAGTAATATATAGTGTCATTTGGAGAAAATATTGAGATGTTGTATGATACATTTAATAACATTTATTTTTTAAACTTATTCTACAGTTCTATTGTGATATGCAATATTTAAACCAATTTTCTGAAAGCTAAGGGAATATGTTTTAAATTAGTCTTCCCCATGTGGTACATAGTAAATCAGAGACATGCACTATTTTCTGTCTTTTTGCAGGGAATATTTGGGTTTTTTTTTTCCTTTTATCCATTCATTTCTCTGTTATCCTTAGGGAACATTTCAGATATTATGATAGGAGACCACAGTATTACTCAGGTACTGACACAGTAACGTGGGCCAACCAAACGTGTCAGTCCTAAATAAGATTAGAAATAGCCCAAGCTTTCTGAAATATTTGTACCAGAATAACTCCTGGATGTCCTGCTGAAAAATGACCTGGCGAAGGATCTGAGGATACCATAGAGGAGAAGGAGAAATTTTGAACTGGGGGCATTGAAGGGGCTTCAGTTAGATCTGAAAAGGGAAGAGACACGTGTTTAAAGAGTTT